TTACTCACTCTTCTTAGTCTCTAGTTTGGTCAGTAGCTTTTGCTTATGTTTCCTTAACAACTATTGTTTATGACCTCATGGTCTGGAAAAGATTTTATTTCATGTGCTCTTTTACATTTCTTTCTTCCATGACGTTATCAGTTTCTGTAAAGGTACCATGTTATGCTGTCCTTGTCTCTTTTTACCTTTGCACTGCAGTAACCAAGTATTTACTGGTGTAGGGAACTCTTAGGTGATGAACCACCCCCCTTCCCTGCAATTTATAGCCTTAGAGAGTTGACTAAAGCACTGAGAAATTAAGTGACTTGCTCAGGGTCACAGCTCATTTATGTCAGGGGTAATACTTGAATTCAGGTCCTCCTGATAAGGCCAGCACTCTATCCACCATGTCATACTGCCTCTCCATCAGAGTATATGTTGATTTTATTTGGAGTATTTTTTCAAGTTATTCATAGAACTTCATTATCCTCTCAGCAGATAGCGTATCAACTGCAAGTATTTCCATGGTAGTCTTTGCAAATAGTTCATGCAAATCATGAGCTATATAAAAAGAGATGAGCAAATATTTGACGAAATGACGTTTCTTTGGTGTCTTTAGATACATAGTAAACCTAACTTCCTCAATTCCTTTATTTGCCTCTTCAAGGAGAAACTTAGGGCTATCCCTTCATTTAGCTGCAATTTTCTTTTGTCTTCTGGTTTCATTCATGAGGATGCCATGCTTGATATGATTCAATCCTTTCAGTAGTTCAATGTTGACTCACTGGTCATTGGACAAGGATCTCACATTTAGTGTGCCATCAGCAAAGTTAATGCTTATAGACAGTCTGAAAACTGTATAATTCCTATTACCCTTTGCTCCCCATTTTCTGTCAGGGTCATGCATTTGTATTTTTGTCTTACAGTGAGTAGGAATATAAGGTATTTGGTTTAGAATTCATTATCCATTATACACAGTGACAGCCACATTGTGCAATGACTGACCTTGATAAACTTAGCTCATCTCAGCAATGTAAGGATATAAGACAACTCCAAAGACTCATGATGGAAAATGTTATCCACATACAGAGAAAGAACTGTGGAATCTAAATGTAGATGGAAGCACACTATTTGCTCTCTTTTTCTTTTGTTGTTTTGTTTTGTTTCTTCTTCTTCGTGGTTCCTCCCATTAGTTCTAATTCTTCTTTACTTCATGACTAGTGTGAAAATGTTTAATATGAATGTATATGTAGAGCCTATATCAGATTGCATGCCACCTCGGGAAGGGGGGAAAAGAGGGTAGGGGAGAAAATTCAAAACTTAAAATGTCACAGAAGTGAATGTTGAAAACTAAAAATAAACAAATTATATATATATATAAAAAAAGAATTCATTACTACCTCTTGGTTGGCTCCCAAATTCAGGCAGCTAGCACCATTTCCCTGCTCCTTTCAACTAGGACATTCCTTTAGGTCAATGCTCTTGGCTCTACCCATGTGGAGAGTTTAAAAGTTGCTCTGGAGAAACAATGGGAAAGGAAGTTACTAAGGTAAATGCCTTAGAAAAGTTAACTCAAGTTCACTTACAGACTCTCAACATCAAGCTCCCATCAGGACTGCCTTAGGCTTATTGGGTCCAGGTACAGATCTAAGATTCTGTCTGCTTTAGAGAAGCCATAAAAATATGAATCAATAAAATCTTTTTTTCAGTTTAGCTCTGAGGCTTCATGCTGGGAATATTTCAAACAATTATGAAAATCTCAATCATCTTGGATACCTCAACAACCATTTGCCCTCATCCTCATTTTCCTTCTCTGTAAAGTGTTACTGACCTCCCAGGGTTGTTTGTAGGATTAAATAACATAACTGAAAAGTGCTTGGCACACAGTAGGTGCTATATAAATGTTAGCTAATATTATTAGAACCCCCAAAAGGAGATCTGAGAAAATATCAATAACCAACAACCTCTGTGTGTATTTTCCCATCTATACATAGTTATTTAAAAATTCAAGATATTATGTAGTCAGGTTATCTGTGAGAGTTGTTTGTTTACAGTAGAAAAATTCACTTTCAGAAATACAACAGGGAGGGTATTTTCCTTGGCTCTAGTCCCCACCCTTGGAATACGAACATCACCAATCCTTTCCACCAATTCTCCTTCTCCTCGAGACATCAGGAATGAATTACTCTCTGGTAACTGCTTCAGTTCTACTCTATAAGAGGGTTCTTCTGAGAATTTGTGGAGAAGGAAGAATGGGAAAGCCAAAAGGACTCAAAGCTGCTTCACAGCCCTCACCAGACAATGATGAAAACTGACTCAAAGTCTAGATTCAGGTTTTTACTCCGCTGTGAGATATCTATGCAAAATATTTTTTAAGAAATCAATAAGATTCCCATATAATTCCTGAGATCCCAGCAAAGGAGATCTACTTTTCCCCCTGATATTCAGATCTGTTCTCTGCTTTTTTTGTGTAATATCCCTATTACAATAGCTAGCATTTATAAAGTGCTTTAAAATTTATTAAGTGCCTTATAAATATTATCTCCTTTAGTTCTTACAACAACCCTGGGAGGTGAGTGCTACTACTCCCATTTTACAGATGAAGAAACTAGGGCAATTAGCGGTTGGCTAAGTGACTTTACCAGGGTTATACAGGTAGTAAGCGACTGTGGTTGAATTTGAATTCAGGTCTTCCTGACACCAAGTCCAGAGCTCTTATCCGCTGTGCTATCTAGCTGCCTTGCTAGTTTTTTTTTTTGTAAATTCCTTTTCACAGAAGATGCAGCACACAGATCCAAATCATCTATGATGAATCCCTTTTATAGCAATCAAATTTAAGATGAACTAAACAAAAATTAAGAGATCAATTTCAGAATAAAGGAAAACTTTGCCCCTGGACAGAGCAGGGAAAAGGAAAGATAGGCCACAGTCCTTTACCTCATCTCCGAAAGAGAAAAGTTCCACAATGTCCCTCCAAACACTCTTCCTCAGGGTTACCCCAGGGGAAGGGGTGGCAGCAGGATAGGAAACACCTAATATAAAGACCAGTTGCCTCAAGGTCCTCTCCTCACTTCCAACTTCAAATCAACCTTTTGAACTCTTCTAAATATACCATGTTGCCTCTGCTCACCCTCGTGTCCCAGGGACCTCAGGTGAGGGGAAACACAATGTTGCTTTAAAGACTTACTCAATCACTGTATCTCCCAGAGATCCTTGCAGTCAAGGACTGAGGATCTTCTCTTGGCAGGTAGAGAACTGGTCTCCAATGCCCCCATACAACTCAATGTCTATGTTTGTGGCTCAGTTCTACATTCTTTTTTGGGGGGGGTGGCTAGGCAATGGGGTTAAGTGACTTGCCTAGGGTCACACAACTACTAAGTGTCAAGTGTTTGAGGTCGCATTTGAACTCAGGTCCTCCTGACTCCAGGGCCAGTACTCTATCTATTCTATCATCGAGTTGCCCCCACTGCGCCTCCTAGCTGCCCCAGTTCTACATTCTTTAAAAGAAAGATTGTAAAGCTCTGTTTATAATCTCCTACAATAAAGATGAATAAAAATACATAAAATTTTTATAAAAAATAATCTATGTTTGCCTTGATAATGTCCTTGATGAGGGTTATTAGAAGGGGACCGGCAAGAGATTTCCCACTGCAGACCATGGCTTTACCAACACAAAAATGAGTGAAAGACACACCAAATACAGCACTTATTGTTTG